GACCAACGTAAAACGTGGGATGCGTTCGCATCTTACGTGGTAACTCGATCGTGTATGCATTGCCTAGGCGGTGCAATACACGAAATGGGCCGATGTACTTGGGTAGTAGTTTACTGCTACCCAAGTTAGTCGCTACATGCTTTGGTAGATTAACCGTAGACAGTAGGACTAAGTCACCTTTATTAAATAAAAGAGTGTTTGCCCTTCCATTCTTGTCAGCGTTTTGCTTTTGCTTATCCACCGCTTCGGCGATGGAGTCTTGCACAAAACGGACTACCGTTTCACGAGCCAGTATGAACTCATCTGATGACTCGTTAGCTTCAGTGTGCTGTGAGCGCACTGGAGCGACAACAACCTTTTCTTCAGTGAGGGCTTCCGCACTCTCACTGGGATCATTGTCTTCAGTGAGGGCTTCCGCACTCTCACTGGCATCATCTTCTTCGATATCGATGTTATCGATATCGGCACCAAACGCAATGACTTCTTCGTCAGAGCGTGATGAGCGTGAACCAATTCGTTTTTGCTCGCGCGAGTCCCTCCCCCCCTTAAATCAGAGTTACACTCTAGTAAGGTGGGTACACGCGGATGGCGCAAGCCATTCACGTAAAACGGTGTATGTGTCGTGGACGCATGCACCGAGTTGTTGATGGCCAATTCTACCATTGGCAAAAACTCACTCCAACTCTTAAAGGAGTGTACGTATCCTCGAAGTATCTCTTCGAGGACACGATTGGCACGTTCCGTCTGACCATCTGACTCTGGATGATTAGATGTAGACATCTTCAAGCGCGTTCCGAGTGATTTGAACACGGAGCGCCAGAAATCAGTAGTGAATCGTGGATCTCTGTCTGATACGAGTTCACGGGGCAACCCATGAAGTCAGAAGATGGTGTCAATAAAGACACAAGCACAGCCACTTGCCGTGATTGACTCTGGTACAGCCACAAGGTGTACCATTTTGCTGAATCTGTCAACAAATACGAGAATACCCGTATTCCCGCGTGCGTCTTTGGGTAATCCGAAGACAAAATCCATTGAGACGGATTCCCAGCACTCAGCCGCAACAGGAAGAGGCTGTAAAGGTGCACGCAGTGAAGGACTTGACTTCACTCGTTGACAGACTTCGCATGCGCGGACATACTTTCGCACAAACTGATACTGGCGGGGCCAGTAAAAGTCTCGACTCACCGTGAGATATGTTTTCTCACGGCCACAATGTCCTCCTATAGGAGCATCGTGATACTCGAACATGATCCGCAAACGCAGATCAGTATCATCTGGAATGACAACACGTGGTGTGTCACCAGAAACGGCTGTATAATACAGTGACCCGTTGCGAGTAGTGTATCGATCTGCATCAGATCGATACGCAGACGATAATCGTTTCAACGATTCTCGAGACGGTTGTGGGAGATGTGTCAACAACTTCACAATCTCACCATCTTGGGCATACGCCCGCCTCATATCATCATGCAACGTTGAAGATGGGACTGAGGACGTCATAACCGCAACAGTGACTGTCTCATTGTTGGGTTTCACTACTGGTTCAAAGTCGGGACGACGTGAGAGTGCATCAGCGACGACATTAAGTCGTCCTGGTTTGTACTCGACCGTAAAGTTGTGTTCTGCAAAGAATGACAACCACCGCACCATTCGTTGTGAAAGGTGCGGGCTGTTCACTGCCGTGCGTAATGACGCATGGTCAGTGTAAACAATGAAGGGTCTATCTCCTAATAGAAAAACTCTGAACTTCGCGAGCGCATACTTCATGGCAAGGGGTTCCTTGTCATGCACTGGATAGTTCCGCTCAGCTGGGTGCAGCTGACGCGACTGATAGCAGACGACGCGTTCAACGCCTTCAAGATCGTGCTGCATTCATGCACAGCCGATTGCGAAATCGCTGGCATCACAGACCACATGAAATGTACTGTCCTGATCGGCTATTGCTAGGACTGGAGATTGTATCAAGCTCTGCTTGATACCATCAAAGGAGCGCTGACATTCAGTGTTCCATAACCACCTCTCGTTCTATTTCAACAAACGAGAGAGGTGTACAGTCATCTCGGCGTAATTGCGTGAATACTTATGCAAATACGCCGCTAGCCCAAGGAATTTTCGAAGACCTTTGACATCAACCGGCACAGGTCAGTCGGTGATCGCCTTGATCTTTCCAGGATCAGGACGTACACCGTTATTACCAACGATGCACCCAAGAAGTGGTATTTCGCTTGCTGCAAATATAAACTTCTTGAGGTTTGCATACAATTGATGCTTTCACATGATTGCAAGAACCTGTCGGACGTGGTACCTGTGAACCTCAACGTCCGACTTTCCATCCATAGCTCGACTATGGATGAATACCTCATCGAAATAACTCGGCGCGAACTCTCGTACTGGTCTCAACAGATGTGATACACATCTGTTGAACGTGGCAGGGGCATTACTGAGCCCTTGTGGCATTACTAGCCATTCCCAGAGCATGCCGCTAGGCGTGCTAACTGCGGTATAGGGTATATCCCGTTCCCGCATTAGGATTCGATAGAAGCCATCCATCAAATCCATGGACGAAAAGATGGTACTCTTTGACATACCATCAATGATTACGTCCTTCCTCGGTATCGGCGTCTGAGCCGGTACCGTTGCAGCGTTCAATTTGCTGAACGCGTGCACTATCCGCCACCCTCCTGTTGTTTTTCTCACACAGAAGGTCGGAGAGCTATGTGGGGAAGTTGATTCCCTCACATGGCCCGCTGCTAAACGATCGGCAAAGAACTTGTCGATCGCAAGTACTTGTTCACGAGGCAGTGGCCACTACTTCATGACACAGTACTTCGAGCCTGGTTTAAGCTCGACCTCGTGTCGAATACCTTTATCCTTCGGTAATTCGCACGGAACAGTTTCAGGGAATGCATCCTTAGATTCAACCAAATCTTCACAGAGAGGATTTGTCTTCTTCATAGAGAGGAATTGGCTTGGGCGATTCTGACGATTGGGAGTCATATCGCTCAGCTCGTGTCTTTTCATCTAGTACACTCTCGTCCATAGATGAACTACTGAGAACTCTCTCGTTCTCAGTGAACACTGTTGCTGACCATTTGACGGCTACACACTCGTCGTCAGCGACGAGTACGCAGACCTGCTTGACTTTGCCACTACGCAGATCACGCAAGAACCTTTTATGTTCGAGCATTGGCAACTGAGTGATCTCCGAAGTTAACTTCGGAGGCGAAATCAGATCAAGTGTATAAGCGCCTACGCTTGATCCGTTATTGACTATGACATTCAATGTCTCCGTCATTTCCTGGGGACTTATTCCCTTAGGCCTCGAAGGACTTATTCCTTCGGCTTCCCGGGGACTTATTCCCGCGGGTTTCGGGGAACTTATTTCCGCCGTATTTGTAATCTTGGGACTTATTCCCTTAACTTCCTCTAGCTGGGGTTGCGCAACCACAGCGAGATCCTCTACGAAAGACTCTCCAGTCGATCTAGGATTATCGTTTCGCTTAACCTGAGCAATCGATTGTTTCTCTTCTAGATGTTCCCCGCTAGGGGTACATCTTTGTCCCGGTCCACTCGACTTATTCGAGCGGTGGACCTTCGGCACAGCCTGTGTTTCCTCACAGCCGCCGGAACTTTGCTCCGAAGTGTAACCGTTTGGTACACTAAGGTTTTGTGCAGTCGTACTAACGACCGTACCACAAGTGAGGCCATCGCACTCACTCGTAGTACATCCACACGCTTGTGGACGCTCCAAGACGTTCATCAGATGGCCATCTGATGAACAGGCGGCAGGCATCGTTACTGTCCGATGTTGCCAGTTTACCCGTGGTTCGTACCTTCTGAGCCACGGTATTCCAAGGATGACATCAAATTTGTCATCCAGATCCAATACGATAAAGTCATCGTCATATTGGGTATCTTCTAGCGTATAGTGGATCTTCACTATACGCTTCATGACGGTTACGGATGCGCCTGTCGCAAGACGTACCGTCATCCTCGTAGGAGGTGTGTCACATTCACTGAATTTAAAATGACCGTCTTCTAGCGATTGGCGTCGCACAAAACTGTTGGACGCCTCACAATCGACTAGAGCTCGAAGGGACAACTTATTTGTCACTTCGAGTTTCAAGGTAATGAGTGAGATCTCATTACCTAGAGCAGCAACGCACAACGTTTGTGTGTTGGGAGCAACCTTCATCAAGAGGCCTACAAATTCTCTTGACGTTGCTGGACCAGTAGGGTGCTCCGCACATACTGATCTTGTCGGTTTTTTTACGGTCCATCCCGTTGTTGCGTCTTTGCACCAACAGCGGACCCTCGTCCCTGCCCCTTTCTCATGGGTGGACGGTCACTACGCCCAGTGTCGCGAGACACTGGACGAGGGGCACTACACTCATAAGCGTAGTGTCCTGTCGTTTGACATCTGTTGCATTTCTGCAACCTTTTGTAGTCTGTAGAGCGAGCTTTCTCGCTCTCTACACAACAGAGTTCCATCGGCTCTGGACCTCCGCTGTCATATCGTCTCGGTTGACGATATGATGTCGAGCTGGCGCGAGCTGTCTCAGACTGAAGTCTTCCTGTTCCGCAATGGAAATGGCTTGTTCTAGTGAATCTTGTTCAAGTTGGAACAGGTGAGTCTTGACGGGACCATCCGCAAGACCCTGCATGAACACCGAAACCAACGTGTGTTCATCCACCGGATTGGAACTTATACAACTCGTGAGATGTAAAATATGCTGCGCGTAAGTGTGCACATCACGCTTACCTTGTTTGAGCTTCAAGAGTTTAGTTCGAGCTCTGAACTCAGCTCTAGGCGGTTCAAACGTTTGTCTGAGCCGCGACTTGAAGACTTCTAACGACCCGAACGCATATGGGTCGTGCAACTTGAGCCCCAGTGCCCAAGTCTTGGCACGTCCTGCCAGATTTGACTGGGAAAATGCAACTTGCATTTCCCCGTCGTCGATGCGACGCGCCCTTATGGCGTCATCCAATGCGACGAACTATCTCAAGAGGGAGTCCTCTTCGACTCCCCTATACTTGGAGATGTCAATCTTCAAAGTCTCGGGTCGATGCGAGTGCATCGACCCACCAGCAGCAGCCTGCTGCTGTCTCAGCAGTTCAAACTGTTGAACACCCTGTTCTCTCAACAACTCTGCTTGTTGAGAACCTTTTTGGTGAAGCAAGGCTACTTTCTCGCGCTCTGCGTCAAGTTCATTTTGAATGAACTTGGCGATAGTAGCATGTTGAGCATCTCTATCGATAGCCTCTAGCATGACGCTAACAGCATGGATGCCCATGGTCGAACCCATTCGTTCAACCGCATCCCATTTAACATCGCTCAATGGGGTAGCCGTCACGCGTAGCGTGAAAGCTTTGGTCATCTTCATCATCCAACATATTCATGTTAGATGTGTACGTGGTCCTTGGACGGACTACGAAGTGCTACCAGGTGTAACGGGGCACCCTGAAGCTTGTACTGGTGACAGTACAAGATACTTATTCTGATGACAGAATAAGGCGGTGCCTCGTAACTTCACTTACACTCGTACGTGCAGAGGAAGACGGTAAGAAGAAGCGAGTACTTGATTTAAGTAAAAAGTAGAACTGTATTTATAATAGTTAATGTCTGTCAATAAATCACTATTTATCTTCATCTAACTATGTCTAAATACAAATGTGCATATCAACCATCTGCTCACCACTCATTGCATGCGTTTATCGTGGCGCGTCTTCGTTGGTTGATATAATGGCCTATATCAACCAATTAGGAACTACTCGTAAGTGCTACAGAATATTTGTCCTTATGACAATATTCTGAGAATATGACTCTTATAGTTATATTCTTTTAACAATTTCTTTAAATTGTTGTGTAACGATTCACCCCGTTACAGAAAGGGTCTAAGGTCAGCCCCGAGCAAGCTGCACTCGCAGACTCAGGGGTGGACGCAGTGGACCGATGGGTCGCGCGCGCGGCCGACGGAAGCCCACCATCGCGAATGGACCGGCTGGAAAGGTATAGAATAAGGCGGGTAGGCGCTTCCCCCCATCGTAATCGCCTCGACGATAGCGACATTCAGCCCGGACGTTCGCTCTAGAGGCCACAAAGGAGTCTGTCGCTGATTTTAATGGCATTCTCCCGGCGCGTAAGGTAACTTCGGTTACCCGCGCTATAGGTCGGATGGCCGCGCTAAGCGGTCACCGATTCAGTTGGGCGTCCTTTTTGGACGTCTTTATTTCTTCTGCTGCATAGAGCAGCGTTGCACTGAGAGCGCTTGAAAGATAGGCTCAAATCTGGCTAAGGTTGGATGTCTCTGACCTCCAGTACCCTCGCCTCCGGCTCTTCGGACGACCCACGTTGTGGATCCGTTTTTTTTGGTCGAACTTCCTGGAAACTTCCGTCGTTAGTTAATCGTGAATAATGGACGTACTTGACTCCATTAATCTTTGGGCTCGCAAGTATTGTGTCCACCCCTCACATGTAATAAAGAGTCGTCTGTTCCTCTCACCGACCCGTCGCTCCCCAGCTGCAACGAATTGCACATCCAGTCGACCAGCAGCAAATCCCTCTCCATCCGCGTTGACTCAGTCCCTTCTCCACTGCACACCGCTCTGCACAACAGCCCCAAAAGTGGCTACACAGTCTCACGATCCAGCCAAGCAGTCTCCGTCCGTCCGTGCACCGTCCCCCCAGATCCCCAAGTCTGTACCCATGACAACAGACGTCCACGCCTGCAAGAGCCTGAGCCCATGCGACGAGAGCGGCGTCGCCCTCAACGCGGCCGAACTCGCGCTCGCCTTCCGCCGCGCTGACGACGACGGACCTCTGCAGCTCACGGTGCAGTCGCTGCCCTACGTGAAGCGCCGCGAACATGCGGACAAAACCGCTGCGCTGAGCGTGGACGCGAGCGGTCGCCGCCGCGTCTCCGTCGGCTGCAGCGCGACGTCTGATCCCCTGCAAGCGCCTCTGGAGCCCGCGGACAAGTTCTTGATGTCGCTCTCGTACTCGGTCCCGTGTCCCACGCGCGTGAGCAACACGCCGCGGGGCAGTCCCGCGGTCGACGTCATTGCCACGTACATGAACACGTGCGACCAGCGGACGGTGAAGCTGGAGCTCATGCGCGCGCACGCGCGCTTTGCCTCGTCTCGAGGTACGCAGCCAGGTGGTTCTTTGCTGCCGCTATGTGAGTAGATTTCCAAGAGCCGAACTGAGCGTGGGATGGGCTCTGGCTTGTCCCGTCGATGGGTTGTGTTTGGTCTTGTTGTTGTTGTGTGTGCTGCTGGTGTTTGGTGGCGGATGTCGTGACTGGGGCGGGTCGAGAAGGTGGTCCGTCTACTCGCACACGCACGTCGTCCATGGTGAGCAAAGAAGGCAGCGCCGAGTGGGGCTGGTTCGCGGACATCGACTCGAGCAGCGAGAGCAGGGGCAACGACGGGTCCGTCCACTCGCTCCGTCGGCGACTGAGTGCTGACCTGGGGCTCGTGGACGTCGGCAATGTCCACGTCTTGGGGGACGAGCAGACGAACACGCGCAACACCGCCGCCCACAAGACTTTCACGATCGTCACCGAAGGCAACGGCAAAGTCGTTTCCGCGACCGTGTCGATCCCCAAGTTTCGCATTGTGCAATCGCGCTCAGGCTCGGATCGCCACGCGCAGTATTTAATCACTCTCTTGCTGGGAAAGGAGCTGTACGCCGACTGGCGGCGGTACTCTGAGTTTGGGGAGTTGGTTAAGACGCTGGACGAGAAGCGCTACACAAGGACGCAAGACGTCTGGGCAGGTATTGAAACGCGCTGGTTCAATCGACTTGAGCCGTCCTATCTGCATCAAAAGTGCATCACACTTGAGAACTTCATGCGCGAGCTCATGTACGAATCAAATGAGCCGACTTTGTTGATCAACTTCCTTGGCGGGTACCTGGGAAAGGTGAATGCAAGGCCGACGGACCCCGTGGCGTACCGTCCAGCTGCACAGCTACCGAAGGAGCTCCGTCCACCGCAGCCGAGACACGAGCGAGAGCTGTTTGAGAAGATGTGGGCCGAAAACTTTCAACGGTCACGCGTAGACTACTCTACAAATGAGCCTTCCGACCAGACCGCGAGCTAAGAATCATCTATACTACTGGAGGATATGGTCTGAGGACCTGATGCACTTTTCAATAAAGTTCGCGTAAAGAGGCCGCTACCTTTCTTCGACGGCTTTTAAAGATGGTGTGATCCAAATGATCGCTGGAGCCGGCCGACAGAGCTTTAATTCTGTGCTATCGCAGACGATAAAATGCCGGCTGCACAAAGTGCAAATGACAACAATGAGATTGGACATCAAGAGCTTGAAACGCAACGGAATAAAACTGCACCAGCCGCTACGAAGCAACTAGCCGAATCAGCCACGACAAATTAACATTTTACAGCGTAACGTGACCGAGTATCATGACCTTAATGAATACGATTTAAAGTCAACAAAAGTTGATCTTTACTATCAGCAATATATTGGTCACTTGCGCTGATGGAAGGCAAGCCATCGATAACGGATAAACCTCTACTCGAGAAGGACCACCTACCACTATGCAACACATGCAAATGTCATGTCTATACAGCTCCATCAAACCACGAGTTTAAGCCCCTGTACACGTAGTCCAGCTACTAAATCTTCTTTGGAACAGTTTTGTAAAGCTTCGTGCTACTGATTTCGTGCTGGAAAACAGTCAAGTCCGGGATGTGCGAGACATCGCGCACAAAAAAAAGCTTTGCAAGACGCGAAGTGGCCACTAGTGGAAAAAGCCACGGAGAGACCTGCCAAAGTCATAGCGCAAGTTATTATCGCAAGTCACTGTAAGCAATTGCTCGGCGCACTTACTGCGGAAACCAAAGTGTACCAGCCAACTCCAGTGAGCACGCCAATGACCGCGCCAGCTATGACTTGGTCTACAGAATGGTAATTCAAGTGGATGCGCGAGTAGCAGGTCAAACATGACGTCACGATCACACTCGATACGGTGAACAGCTGCTCCAGTCGTCGTATCGAGTTCAGCCTGATTTACAGCAGAGACCGCGCCCAGCTCGTCAGTTTTCTTATTGGGTTGCACAAATAATATACCAGACATCGAGAACCTCTTCCACGTGTAGATCACCACATAGGCTGCAAAGAAGCCCATGAATTGGGAATGCGCCGACGGCATTCCTGGTCCGCTCAAGAACGCGCTTTCCGGCCGCGGCTGGTTGATCAGTTTTTTTAGCACTTTATTGAGCACGACGCTCGCAAGCTGTCAGCACCAGCTCTCTGATTAGATAAACGCACAATAAATCACAGTAATTGCGCTGTATGTAGCCACCTGCCCAATGAGCATGCTAATGCTGTCCAAGTCCCTTTGTGAGACGACAACTGTGAGGTACACAATCATCAGAAAGCTTAAGAGAAGTGAGTCACAAGTGCTTTTCTGCAATAATCCAGCCGGAACTCACATGGGAGACAGCGTGAAGAGCGCCAGGAGGGCGCCCAAGGGATCCGTCGGGTCGTACACGACCCACGTGAGCTCAAACGCTTGCACGCCATTGACCTCCTTCATCGCTACCGTGACACTCTCCACGTCTGTCATCCGGATGTCCGTGTGATGTGCACAAGAAGTGTCTGCTCGTCAGACGGGGTGCTTAGAAGCGCAAGCCGCGAGTCTCGTTGTGTTAAGTACGATATCTTAAACACTTATCTAATCGCCCGTTTGGAAGGATTTTACGGTCGATTGTGTCGTGATGTTGTGTGAAATTGTAGCGCAGAGACCTCAGAATCTCAGCTGCGGGCTAAGTTAAAATGAGTGCCGCCGTAAAATCAAGTTTAGCACTTCACACGTTATAAAAACTATATTTACAGCTGCTGATTATATACGACACGCCAGATGTAACGGGGTGAATCGTTACATAACAATTTATAAGAAATTGTTAAAAGAATATAACTATAAGAGTTATATTCTCAGAATATTGTCATAAGGACAATATTCGGTAGCACTTCAAGTAGTTCCTAATTGGTTGATATAGGCCATTATATCAACCAACGAAGACGCGCCACGACAGACGCACGCAATGAGTGGTGAGCAGATAACTGATTTACACATTTGTATTTAGACATAGTTAGATGAAGATAAATAGTGATTTATTGCAGACATTAACTATTATAAATACAGTTCTACTTTTACTCTAACCGAGTACTCGCTTCTTCTTACCGTCTTCCTCTGCACGTACGAGTGTACGTGAAGTTACGAGGCACCGCCTTATTCTGTTATCAGAATAAGTAGCTTGTACTGTCACCAGTACAAGCTTCAGGGTGCCCCGTTACACCTGGTAGCACTTCGTAGTCCGTCCAAGGACCGCGTTCACATCCAACATGAATATGTTGGATGATGAAGATGACCAAAGCTTTCACGCTACGCGTGACGGCTACTCCCATTTGAGCGATGTCGAATGGGATGCGGTTGAACGAATGGGTTCGACCATGGGCATCCATGCTGTTAGCGTCATGCTAGAGGCTCTCAATAGAGATGCCCAACATGCTACTATCGCCAAGTTCATTCAAAATGAACTTGACGCAGAACGCGAGAAAGTAGCCTTGCTTCACCAACAAGGTTCTCAACAAGCAGAGTTGTTGAGAGAACAAGGTGCTCAACAGTTTGAACTGTTGAGACAGCAGCAGGCTGCTGCTGGCGGGTCGATGCACTCGCGTCGGCCCGAGACTTTGAAGATTGACATCTCAAAGTATAGGGGGGTCGAAGAAGACTCCCTCTTGAGATGGTTCGTCGAATTGGATGACGCCATAAGGGCGCGTCGCATCGACGACGGGGATATGCAAGTTGCATTTGCCCAGTCAAATCTGGCAGGACGTGCCAAGACTTGGGCACTGGGGCTCAAGCTGCACGACCCATATGCGTTTGGGTCGTTGGAAGTCTTCAAGTCGCGGCTCAGACAAACGTTTGAACCGCCTAGAGCTGAGTTCAGAGCTCGAACCGAACTCTTGAACCTCAAGCAGGGTAAGCGTGATGTGCACGCTTACGCTCAACATATACGACATCTCACGAGTTGTATAAGTTCCAATCCGGTGGATGAACACACGTTGGTTTCGGTGTTCATGCAGGGTCTTGCGGATGGTCCCGTCAAGACTCACCTGTTCCGGCTTGAACTAGATTCACTAGAACAAGCCATTTCAATTGCGGAGCAGGAAGACTTCAGTCTGAGACAGGCTCGCGCCAGCTCGACATCATATCGTCAACCGAGACGATATGACAACGGAGGTCCAGAGCCGATGGAACTCTGTTATGTAGAGAGCGAGAAGGTTCGCTCTACAGGCTACAAGAAGTTGCAGAGATGCAACAGATGTCAGAAGACAGGACACTACGCTTACGAGTGTAGTGCCCCTCGTCCAGTGTCTCGCGACACTGGGCGTAGTGACCGTCCACCCATGAGAAAGGGGCAGGGACGAGGGTCCGCAGTTGGTGCAAAGACGCAACAACGGGATGGACCGTCAAAAAACGGACAGGATCAGTAGGTGCGGAGCACCCTACTGATCCAGCAACGTCAAGAGAATTTGTAGGCCTCTTGATGAAGGTTGCTCCCAACACACAGACATTGTGCGTTGCTGCTCTAGGTAATGAGATCTCACTCATTACCTTGAAACTCGAAGTGACGAATAAGTTGTCCCTTCGAGCTCTAGTCGATTGTGGGGCGTCCAACAATTTTGTGCGACGCCAATCGCTAGAAGATGGTCACTTTAAATTCAGTGAATGTGACACACCTCCTACGAGGATGACGGTACGTCTTGCGACAGGCGCATCCGTAACCGTCATGAAGCGTATAGTGAAGATTCACTATACGCTAGAAGATACCCAATACGACGATGACTTTATCGTATTGGATTTGGATGACAAATTTGATGTCATCCTTGGAATACCGTGGCTCAGAAGGTACGAACCACGGGTAAACTGGCAACATCGGACAGTAACGATGCCTGCCGCCTGTTCATCAGATGGCCATCTGATGAACGTTTTGGAGCGTCCACAAGCGTGTGGATGTACTACGAGTGAGTGCGATGGCCTCACTTGTGGTACGGTCGTTAGTACGACTGCACAAAACCTTAGTGTACCAAACGGTTACACTTCGGAGCAAAGTTCCGGCGGCTGTGAGGAAACACAGGCTGCGCCGAAGGTCCACCACTCGAATAAGTCGGGTGGACTGGGACAAAGATGTATCCCTAGAGGGGAACATCTAGAAGAGAAACAATCGATCGCTCAGGTTAAGCGAAACGATAATCCTAGATCGACTGGAGAGTCTTTCGTAGAGGATCTCGCTGTGGTTGCGCAACCCCAGCTAGAGGAAGTAAAGGGAATAAGTCCCAAGATTACAAATACGGCGGAAATAAGTTCCCCGAAACCCGCGGGAATAAGTCCCCGGGAAGACGAAGGAATAAGTCCTTCGAAGCCTGAGGGAATAAGTCCCCAGGAAATGACAGAGACATTGAATGTCATAGTCAATAACGGATCATGTGTAGGCGCTTATACACTTGATCTGATTGCGCCTCCGAAGTTAACTTCGGAGATCACTCAGTTGCCAACGCTCGAACATAAAAGGTTCTTGCGTGATCTGCGTAGTGGCAAAGTCAAGCAGATCTGCATACTCGTCGCTGACGACGAGTATGTAACCGACATAAGGTCAGCAACAGTGTTTACTGAGAACGAGAGAGTTCTCAGTAGTTCATCTATGGACGAGAGTGTCCTAGATGAAAAGACACGAATTGAGCGATATGAGTCCCAATCATGGGAATCGCTCAAGGAAAATCCTCTCTATGAAGATTTGGTTGAATTCAAGGATGTATTCCCTGAAACTGTTCCGTGCGAATTACCGAAGGATAAAGGTATTCGACACGAAGTCGAGCTTAAACCAGGCTCGAAGTACTGTGTCATGAAGCAGTGGCCACTGCCTCGTGAACAAGTACTTGCGATCGACAAGTTCTTTGCCGATCGTTTAGCAGCGGGCCATGTGAGGGAATCAACTTCCCCACATAGCTCTCCGACCTTCTGTGTGCGAAAAGCAACAGGAGGGTGGCGGATAGTGCACGCGTTCAACAAATTGAACGCTGCAACGGTACCGGCTCAGACGCCGATACCGAGGAAGGACGTAATCATTGATGGTATGTCAAAGAGTACCATCTTTTCGTCCATGGATTTGATGGATGGCTTCTATCGAATCCTAATGCGGGAACGGGATATACCCTATACCGCAGTTAGCACGCCTAGCGGCATGCTCTGGGAATGGCTAGTAATGCCACAAGGGCTCAGTAATGCCCCTGCCACGTTCAACAGATGTGTATCACATCTGTTGAGACCAGTACGAGAGCTCGCGCCGAGTTATTTCGATGACGTATTCATCCATAGTCGAGCTATGGATGGAAAGTCGGACGTTGAGGTTCACAGGTACCACGTCCGACAAGTTCTTACAATCATGCGAAAGCATCAATTGTATGCTAACCTCAAGAAGTGTATATTTGCAGCAAGCGAAATACCACTTCTTGGGTGCATCGTTGGTAAGAACGGTGTACGTCCTGATCCCGAAAAGATCAAGGCGATCACCGACTGGCCTGTGCCGGTCGATGTCAAAGGTCTTCGAAAATTCCTTGGGCTAGCGGCGTATTTGCATAAGTATTCACGCAATTACGCCGAGATGACTGTACACCTCTCTCGTTTGTTGAAAAAGAACGAGAGGTGGTTATGGAACGCTGAATGTCAACGCTCCTTTGAGGGTATCAAGCAGAGCTTGATACAATCCCCAGTCCTAGCAATAGCCGATCAGGACAGGCCATTTCATGTTGTCTGTGATGCCAGAGATTTCTCAATTGGCTGTGCATTAATGCAGTACGATCTTGAAGGCGTTGAACGCGTCGTCTGCTATCAGTCGCGTCAGCTGCAACCAGCTGAGCGGAACTATCCAGTGCATGACAAGGAACTCCTTGCCATGAAGTATGCACTCGCGAAGTTCAGAGTCTTTCTATTAGGAGATAGACCCTTCGTTGTTTACACTGACCATGCGTCATTACGCACGGCAGTGAACAGCCCGCACCTTTCACAACGAATGGCGCGGTGGTTGTCATTCTTTGCAGAATACAACTTTACGGTCGAGTACAAACCAGGACGACTTAATGTCGTCGCTGATGCACTCTCACGTCGTCCCGACTCTGAAACAGTCGCGAAACCCAACAGTGAGACAGTCACTGTTGCGGTTATGACGTCCTCAGTCCCATCTACAATGTTGTATGATGATGTGAGGCGGGCATACGCCCAAGATGGTGAGATAGTGAAGTTGTTGTCACATCTCTCCCAACCATCCCGAGAATCGTTGAAACGATTGTCGTCTGCGTATCGATCTGCATCAGATCGATACACTACTCGTAACGGTTTACTGTATTATACAGCCGTTTCTGGTGACACACCACGTGTTGTCATTCCAGATGATACTGATCTGCGTTTGCGGATCATGTTCGAGTATCACGATGCTCCTATAGGAGGACATCGTGGCCGAGAGAAAACATATCTCACGGTAAGTCGAGACTTTTACTGGCCCCGCCAGTATCAGTTTGTGCGAAAGTATGTTCGCGCATGCGAAGTCTGCCAACGAGTGAAGTCAAGTCCTTCACTGCGTGCACCTTTAAAGCCTCTACCGGTTCCGGCTGAGTGCTGGGAATCCATCTCAATGGATTTCGTCTTCGGGTTACCCAAAGACGCACGCGGGAATACGGGTATTCTCGTATTTGTTGACAGATTCAGCAAAATGGTACACCTTGTGGCTGTACCAGAGACAATCACGGCAAGTGGCTGTGCTTGTGTCTTTATTGACACCATCTTCCGACTTCATGGGTTGCCCCGTGAACTCGTATCAGACAGAGATCCACGATTCACTGCTGATTTCTGGCGTTCCGTGTTCAAATCACTCGGAACGCGCTTGAAGATATCAACATCTGATCATCCAGAGTCGGATGGTCAGACGGAACGTGCCAATCGTGTCCTTGAAGAGATACTTCGAGGATACGTACACTCCTTTATGAGTTGGAGTGAGTTTTTGCCAATGGTAGAGTTTGCCATCAACAACTCGGTGCATGCGTCCACGACACATACACCGTTTTACGTGAATGGCTTGCGCCATCCGCGTATACCCACCTTACTAGAGTGTAACTCTGGTTTAAGGGGGGGAGGGACTCGCGCGAGAAAAAACCGATTTGGTTCACGCTCATCACGCTCTGACGAAGAAGTCATTGCGTTTGATGCCGATATCGATAACATCGATATCGAAGAAGATGATGCCAGTGAGAGTGCGGAAGCCCTCACTGAAGACAATGATCCCAGTGAGAGTGCGGAAGCCCTCACTGAAGAAAAGGTTGTTGTTGCTGCAGTGCGCTCACAGCACACTGAAGCTAACGAGTCATCAGATGAGTTCATACTGGCTCGTGAAACGGTAGTCCGTTTTGTGCAAGACTCCATCGCCGAAGCGGTGGATAAGCAAAAGCAAAACGCTGACAAGAATGGAAGGGCAAACACTCTTTTATTTAATAAAGGTGACTTAGTCCTACTGTCTACGGTTAATCTACCAAAGCATGTAGTGACTAACTTGGGTAGCAGTAAACTACTACCCAAGTACATTGGCCCATTTCGTGTATTGCACCGCCTAGGCAATGCATACACGATCGAGTTACCACATAAGATGCGAACGCATCCCACGTTTTACGTTGGTCGGCTTAAGCCGTACCATCAGTACGCTGCTTCTTCCGATGAAGAACGCCCTTGCGCTCAAGCATCTCGCAGAGAGCCTTGTGCTCCCGATGGTGGGCATCAACAAGGGTCTGAAGAGCAGTTATCTCAGCCCGAGACCGATCAACAATCCCACGAGCTACCCTTAGCTCGTCACGAAGAGATGTCAGAGATCTCTCGTTCTCAAGCTGAGCAAAGGCAAACTCAGCTCGATGCTTCGAGGCAGTGTCCACCATCTGGAGACGCCTATTCCGCTCATGCTCGAGATCGTCGCGTAACCCTTGCGTTACGCGATCAAAGAAGCTCTCGGGAACACACCGATCCACATGATCGTGTGGAGAGCGTCTTTCCTCCTCCTCCACCTCCATTAGAGGACTCTCGCGGTGGCCAGCGCTATCTAGTAGAGCAGCTGTTGAACCACCGCGACGTGAACGGACGTCGGACGAGTTACCTCGTCCGGTGGCGCGGCTATCCCCCGTCCTGGGATTCTTGGGAGCCCCGCTCCCAATTGATGGTTGACGTACTGGGTCTGGTCGAGCAGTACGACGCGACACATCCTGTGCCGCAGAAGGACCGCCGGAGAAAGTCTTCCCGGCACGGTCGTAAAGGGATTTCAGGTTGTCAATCCCTTCGTACATCTCAGTAGAGACACGTACGCGCCACCACGGGCTGGTAAGGAGGTAAGCCTCCTTAGGTGCTCGTGCAGAGTTGTTCACACAACATGGGCACGAGTCTCCCCAAGAGAGGCAGGGTA